TAACCTCACTCCTTTTTTAACTGCTAAGACAAAAATGTAATTCATTCAGAAAATCTTTTCAGGACCCCATCTTGATGTTTCGAGACCCCACTTTGGGTCCCGACCCCAACTTTGGGAAACACTGCTCTAAAGCACTAATAGGGGAACTAATTTCCTGATTAGTGCTTTAAGGCTTTTGCTAATTTAAAAATTTATTAGTGGATTAGCACTTGCTAAACTTTTAGGCTAAATTTAGAAGCACTAATTGAGGTCTATAAATTCTATTATTATTGTATGTTATTGATCAACATTAATGTTAACAGCTGTGGGTGAAAGCTGTCACACAGTTTGTTCATATGTGTGTCACTTATCCACCAGGTGACATATTGACAATATGAACTGAAATAAGGCTGTGGGATGTCAATATGTGACTCATGTCTGTTGAAGAATGTTCATGTGTTGACTGGGATATTTTAGTGCTTTAGAATTAGCTTTTGATTAATTTTCAGTGTATTAGTGCTTCAGAATTAGGGGACCTAAATATTTGAGTTAGTGCTGTAGGGTTAATGGAACTAATTTTTAAATTAGTGCTGCTCACCACTACTAAAAGCTAAAGTGATCAAAAACAATAGTTAAAAGCTAACAGTACCAAAACTGCAGCTATAAAAAGGTAAACAGAGCAAACATTAGCTAAATGCTAAAGTATTGTGAATTTCCAGGCACATCAAATTCTATAACACAGTTAAGTAATTATGTTACCTTCAGTTGTTAGGAAAATGCTGTATATAGTAAAAATTATCTAAAATCTAATCTAAACACCTTGAAAGTGGCCTCTGTCTCTTTAAGAACCTCCTACCTTTTTCAACACTCCCACTTCAGCACATCTTCMCAACATTGCCTCGKGGGTAGGACAGGACCTTGGCTGGGGACGGAGCTCCAAGGAGGAGCTATACAATGGGCGGTGCTTTGTACCAGCACGTGTTAAGTCAGCTCCAAACATGGCGACCRCAAGAGATTCAAGGGTTTCTCAAACCTGCATGAACGAGTGAAAACAACACTCTGGGTTTGTTTTTGTTGATGTAAAAAGTAGATGGAGCTTTGCAGCTTCCATTCGGTTTTTTAAGGGATGACACGGAGCAGGAACGGGTTTAAGACTGAGGTGGAAGTCATTTGTGGATCTGAAATCGATAAAAGAGTGACACATTAATCTTGTCTGCCGGGCCGTCTTCAGCTCATAATCCCACCGGACCAGCAGGCTAAATTTAAAGCTGGGCTTCCTACACAAAGATAAGAGCTGAACCAGAACCACAGCTTTTTGCTCATCCAGGCTGCAATATCTGGTGCAGCCACCTCCCACGGGCATACAGGTTGCCACTTTACATTTAGAGCCCCGAGTTAAACGGGTGAGGCCCGGCAGCGCCATAAACTGACCTACATCTTAGTCCTTATGGGGATCATGTGATGACTCAAGCATGAACGCACTCAGAGCAAAGAATGGGTAATAAATGCACAGAAACATTCGCTGCGATCTGATTAAGTCCGTCAGTAAACAGAAACTTTGTTACCAACGAGCTGCAAGGGTGGGAAAAAAAATCAGTTGTAAAGTCACGAGTGAAGGGAAATTAAATTTGCACCATCATCACAATGAAAGTCACAAGAGAGCCTTCAGTCTGATGTAATTAGGYGACATTGTTAAGTCAGTTAACAGCTGACCTGAAGGCTGAAGAAAAGGAACGCCGAGTCGGTCAAGGAGGAGTTAATGGATTCTCTCTTGACCTCCGTTTGTCTTCAACATGAGAACCAGGGTTTTACTGGGATTCAAACCACATGAGAATATGATTGTGACCCATGCGGGCAAAATGAGTCCCAATGACTATTTTCCATCTCAAATCCTTCGAAACGATAAAATGTTCTGATGAAATTTGGAGATTTATCACCTGGTAACAAGCTGGTTTTGTTTACAAAGAGGTTTGAGGAAAGTATTTTTTATTGGTCTGAAGTAATGACATCAGGGATTTTAGCTCTATATTTAAAAAAATGGGGGATGCCTAAGCTTTACGACAATGACAAATATACGAAGGGATTTCCCAACAGCTAGCAGACAAAAAATATTCAAAAAAGAGAATTTATAAGGGTTTTAGGCAAGTATGGGTCTCTGCAGTAGCTAGATATTCTTTATGGCTTTTTCAAACTCCACCCAAATTAGTCAATCCGACCAATGACTTCTTTCACAAAATCCTCCCACAAAAGTCAAACAAACCAGTCACGTTTTGGACAAACTCCTCCCACTTATTGACTGCAGGGACCCCCTTCTCATTCTTAGGTTAATTGGAAACTCTAAATTTAAGAATGGCCGTTTTGTTCGTCTCTCTGTGTCGCATTGATGGACTTGTGACCTGGATGGACTCATTTTTATGCAAATCACAATTACAGCAAAAATCAACATTTTCACTTATTTTGCTCATTCCGACTCTGACTTATTGTTTATTCCGACATAACCTCAAGAAAGATTTTCTAGGTTTAAGCCTCAGGCATTAAAGGAGTCAGGCGGGAAAAGAGCAGAACCTGGACCTGGCTTTGTGCTCCAGCCTATCATATTTACGATCAATATTAAACAGAAATTTAACACCAGCGAGAATCCTGTGTTGTTCTTCCTGACCTCTAACGGCTTAACRAACCAAAGCCTGTTTTCCATCCAACAATAACTTGTTAAGCCTGGTGACAGGAATCCATTTTATCTGCACCTTCTGAGCCTTTTWAACAATTTGATTTGTATAAATGGATCGGATCATCAGCTGTGATTGTTGGTCATTAACCTGAGAGTTTAATCTGATGAAGAAAAACTATCAGCAGCTCTGCAACTACAGGAAGTCAGGGAGCAAATCTTTTCACTAACAGTAAATATAATGGATGGATGGATGGATGGATGGATGGATGGATGGATGGATGGATGGATGGACGGACGGACAGTTGGATAGATGGATGGACGGACAGTTGGATGGATGGATGGATAGTTGGATGGATGGATAGATGGATGGATGGATGGACAGATTGACAGTTGGATAGATGGATGGATGGATGGATGGATGGATGGATGGATGGATGGATGGACGGACGGACAGTTGGATGGATGGATGGATGGATGGATGGACAGTTGGATGGATGGATGGACAGACGGATGGATGGATGGATGGACAGACCGATGGATGGACTGACAGATGGACAATTGGATGGACAGTTGGATTGATGGATGGATGGAAGGATGGATGGATGGATGGATGGACAGTTGGATGGATGGATGGAACATAAATATCAGCCAGTAACAACCAGAAAACAAAAACAGTGATTTCACAAAAAACAAATCAAAACAAAACAAAAAACAGAATGAAACTGAAACCAGTAAAAAGTGACAGACGTGGTTGATTTAATTACACATTGTAATCTGTTAACTGTGAGAGGCCAGTACAAAATATTTAATAATAAAAGTGTAAGAATGTGACTGATGGACTCCCCCTCCTGGTGTCCCACTGTCACACTGAAGATAATCAGGTTTGACAGGAACCTGACCTGCCAGAACATCTCACCTGCTGAAAGGTGTTTCTCCTCGGACAGCCAGCTGAGGATTAACTGAACTGACAGGAAATTTGTTCGTTCACACCTGATTCGCCGACGGGCAGCTCTGATCAGCAGGAGAACCATGGCTTTTACACTTGGTGAACAAAACAAAACAGAAAATAAGAAAAAAAATAGAAAAATGCATTTAAAAACAAGGTTTAATATTCACACTGCAAAACATTCATTCAGTAAAGTTCATTTGAATACATTTTGTATTACAGTCTTTAATAAAGTAATAAAATGTTCAATATAAAAAGTCTACAAAATAAAACAGAACAAGAAAAACTACTTTTTTCTACATTAGATCAAGAGAGACATTTCATACTGTACAGTCCACTTCCTGTTTCAGAGCACTGATATTCGTTAGAGATAAACTAATTGTTTAACTTTTCGAGTGATAAACAACCAAACAACCCAAAACTTCACATTGATTCATAAACAGAAACGTGTTTCCTGACATGATCGTTGCCACGTTTCACATATGATCTACAAAGGTGTGTGTGTGTGCTGCGAGGAGGAGGAGGAGGAGGGAGAGGCTGCGGCGTTGGAGGAGGGCAGCGAGGAGGGCGGGGGCTGGGGGGTGCCCGAGGAGGAGGAAGAGGAGGCGGCGGAGGACGCGGAGGTGCCGGCCGATGTGGAAGTCTCGATCATGCTGCTGTGAGTGATGAAGCGAAGGCGCAGCTTCATCGCCGGACGCAGAGTCATGATGATTTTCTCCACCTGGAGACACACACACACACACACACACACACACACACACACACACACACACACACACACAC